TCCCAGTGATGGCCAAAATGAGACTAGTTGTTTAAGTGCAACGACAACCTTAATTATTAACTATATTATTTACCCAACCCCGTGGTGTAAATAATATAATTAAATAATTAAATTCTCCCGTAAAACTTCAATCCGGGACAAGGTAAAAGAAGTTTAACGGTGTGTTCAGAAAGTGTTCATTTGTGTATTTAACAAACAATATGTTTATGATTGAGTACTCATAATATATATCACAAACATAACATAATTAATTTTCTGGACACAACAATCTAAATAGAACAAACTTAACAATTAAAATCGATACAAATTAAAACATGATAAGAACAATTAATTAACCAATTTCTAGCCCCAAATTTATTTAGCTATACATGTTGGGAAGCTTAGAAATAGATGAATTCATGATTGAAGTACAAGATTTAAAGAGATAAGCAAGATCAAACTTGTCATTGATGACAATCCTTGGAGCTTGATGCTAATCTTGACTTTAATCTTGATTGAGAAAGTGATTAATTGATGTTGAAGATGAAGAATGAAGAGAGGAGGAGGAAATGATTCTGGGAGGTTGTAGAGAGAAGTTGGCTCGAGATTATGTGTGGAGGGAGATGGATTAAGGCAATATAATGATAAGATGATAAATGATTAATTGCTGGAATTTACGGAACATATAGTTTATGTACAACAAAGCGCAGTAAATTTCCAATAGTATGTAGCAACTTAGCGGACCAGCGTCTTAGGGGAAAGCTCTGAGGTCACGGGATCGATTCTCGGCTTGAAGCGGACTGACGGCTTCGACTTTTTGTTCTTCTTTTCTTTGCTGCGTTTCAAAAGGAATGTATTAATTGCCTGCTGATTTCGTTCACAGCAATGAGGACTAGCTCGTTGGTTGGCTGTATTTACTCCTTATTTGCTTTGAAAGAGATTCCACTTTTATTGACATCAAACTTGAACTTTTATTATCTTTTTTTTCTTTATGCTCAAATGTATCTAAATATCATCAAAAGTACCTGAAAATACAAAATACCCGTGTAAGACTGCACAAATACAAACTAACATCAAATACTAAAAATATGTACAAAGATACAACTTTATTAACTAAATCTATTAACAAACTAAGCCTAAAAAGTGTGTAAAATACAAGCACATCAAATCCCCAACACTTAGGCTTTTGCTTGTCCTCAAGCAAAATAAACAACAAACACAAAAATATACACAATTTGGTAAAATTTACAAACATAACTAAACAAATTACACATACACCTCTAATGTCCACTAAACGGTCCAATACCCTGAAATGTCACAAAATAACTCAATGAGAGTAAACTGAGTATTATTGCCTATCACTAAGATTTTTAAATCAAACTTTTAACACAAACACCTATAGATCTGAATTAGTTCGGGTTATGCAGAACAAGTTTCTCCTATTAGTTTAATTCGAAAACGGACACAAATAGATCAATTAGGACTTTTATTCGGGTTGTGGGGAGGTTAATGAGTGTGGCTAGTTGGAAGAAAGGTTTGTTATGAGAATTTACAAAGAGAGCTAGATTGCACTTATACTGAGCGGATAATCACATGAATTTACAAGAACTTGGAGCATACAAAACCATGAGAAGTATTAAAATGGGGTTTTACAAAAGAAATTACAAGAAATTAATGTGCCTCTTTGTTTTTTTTGTTTTTTTTATTTACTTTTTTTTCTTCATGTTTTTTTTTTGACTTTTTTTTTTGTCTTTTTCAAAGAAGGCACACACTAAATATTACAATGAAAAACTAACCCCAATATTTACAAACAAATATGTACTTCACTAATATGACACTTAACAGAAGCTCCATTTTATACACTCTCAAGTAACAATACAAACTACTCTAGGGTTGAAACAAAAATGACTTGGGTAGGATTTCACAAGGTTATGTATTTACAAGGTCACAAGAAAATTAGTAACAAGTGAAGTAAGGTATTTTTCACTTGTTCACCGAAAAGGCTCAAAGGGTGTTACTAGGGAAAGTGTTATTTATTTACAAAGGGATAGTGTTTGGCTTCATGGGTAAACAAAGATGGCCTAAATCATTTCTACTGTGTCAAGTTCAAATAAAATTTTCAAGGAGAACAAATGTATGAACATCTTAAACTGCATAAACTTTCACTAATTCAACTATTAAACCAATAAATTGGAAAAATAAAATCTAAGGTGTAATGTTAAATTGTTAAAAAGAATCAAGTTCAAAGCTCATACTAAGTTACTCTCAAAAAATTACAGTGACACTTCTCAAACTCAAACCACATTTCATCAAAAGAGGTGAATGAATAATTTAAAAAGTTATGGAGGTAACTAGTAACAAAAAGTGTAAACTAGTGTGTTGCTGCTAGTCTATTGTTGCATTTTGGACAAGACTGGTCTTTATTCACAAACAAAACACACAAAATAAATAAAACAAAATCACACAAGCACACAAGGAAAAAAAAATATTCACACAAGAAATTAGGGTCGAACTACCCACTCCCCCACACTTAAAATTTGCACTGTCCTCAGTGGAAAAGAAATTAAAGGAGTGTAAAGAAAACTTCCCTGAAGCGCGGCCGAATCTGGAATTGTTTATCTGCATGACGTTTGGAGATCCCTTTGAGCGGATGTGGCCCCTTTGGAGTCCAAAGAAATAAAGAAAACCTAGACTAATCTTTTTTTTTTCTTTCTTTTTTTTTGACTTTTTTTTGTTTTTTTTTTTGAGAAATTTACAAACTTGGGTTGCCTCCCAAGAAGCGCTCGTTTAAGGTCATTAGCTTGACCCATGTCTTTCATTCATATTCTGGATCAATGAGGCAATACACATAAGTTGCCTCTTGTTTCTCACCATCATGATATAATTTCAATCGTTGTCCATTTACCATGAGTTTCTGTCCGCTTTTGTTTAATAACTGAACTGCTCCGGATGGGAATGCTTCAAGTACTTCAAATGGACCCAACCACCGGGTTTTTAGTTTTCCGGGGAAGAATTTGTAACGTGAGTTAAATAGAAGAACTTTATCTCCCCGTTCAAATTTTCTCCGGCTGATCACCCGGTCATGCAAAACTTTTGTTCTCTCCATGTATATTTTTGAGCTATCATAAGCTGCAAGTCTGAATTCTTCAAGTTCATTTAGCTGCAACAGTCGTTTCTCACCCGCCAATGCAAGATCCATGTTGAGTGTCTTGATTGCCCAAAATGCTTTGTGTTCAACCTCAACAGGAAGATGACAGGCTTTCCCATACACCAATTTGAATGGTGAGGTTCCAATGGGATTTTTATAGGCAATGCGGTATGCGCATAGTGCATCATCAAGCTTGTCGGCCCAATCCTTTCGGGAAGGATTAACAACTTTCTCGAGAATTGATTTGATTTCTCGGTTTGAAAGTTCCACCTGGCCATTTGTTTGCGAGTGATATGGAGTTGAGAGTCGGTGGTGAATCCCATATTTGGAAAGGACACGTTCCAATGCCTTGTTACAAAAATGAGTACCATTGTCGGTGATGAAAGATCTTGGAACTCCGAATCGGGAGAAAATATTCTTCTGAATAAATTGGATCACCACTTTGGCATCATTAGTCGGTGTGGCAGCTGCTTCTACCCATTTAGAAACATAATCAACAGCTACAAGGATGAACTCTTTCCCATTTGATTTAGGAAATGGCCCCATAAAATTGAGCCCCCATACGTCGAACAATTCGACTTCAAGTATGCCATGCTGAGGCATTTCATTCTTTCTTCCGATATTGCCGGTACGCTGGCAACGATCACAGTTTTTCACAAATTTGCTTGCATCTTTGAAAAGAGTGGGCCAAAAGAAACCCGATTGTAAAATTTTTGCAGCAGTACAAGAGCTTCCATGATGTCCCCCATATGCTGAGGAATGGCAATGATGCAAGACGTTTGAAACTTCATTTTCGGGCAAACACCGTCGAATGACACCATCGGCACACCTTCTATAGAGAAAAAATTCTGCCCAATGGTAGTAACGGGAGTCATATTTTAACTTCTTCTTTTCAGCATGTGTAGCCCCATGTGGAATTACCCCATGAGAAAGGTAATTTGCAATATCGGCAAACCATGGATCAAAAATTTGAGCAGACATGAGCTGTTCCCCGATGAAATAATCATTAATTGGCATTTTGATATCACAAGGAATCTCAAGACGAGATAAATGATCGGCAACAACATTTTCAGATCCTTTTCTATCACGGATTTCCATGTCAAACTCTTGTAGTAACAAGATCCACCGCAGCAACCTCGGTTTTGCATCCTTTTTATTGATGAGGTATTTGATAGCCGCATGATCGGTATAGACAATAATCTTGCTTCCGATAAGATAAGATCGGAATTTTTCAATGGCAAATATTATGGCAAGAAACTCTTTTTCAGTTGTGGCATAATTTGATTGGGCATCATCAAGAGTATGGCTTGCATAATAAATGGCATAGATTTCTTTTCCTTTGCGTTGACCCAAAATAGCTCCCACGGCATAATCGCTCGCATCACACATGAGTTCAAAAGGAAGATTCCAATCAGGTGGCCTTATGATTGGTGCAGTAGTTAAGGCCAACTTGAGCTTTGAAAATGCAGTGCAGCAAGATTCATCAAAATTAAACTCCACATCTTTGGAGAGAAGATTGGTTAAGGGCTTTGATATTTTTGAAAAATCTTTAATAAACCGGCGATAGAATCCTGCATGGCCAAGAAAACTGCGAATCCCCTTGATGGAGGAAGGAGGAGGCAATTTTTCAATGACTTCTATTTTTGCTGGGTCCACAAGTATCCGAGAATTTTCACTTAGGTCTTCATAGAAAGCCGTCATCAAGTGTCAGTTTTGGATGTTGTGATGTGGACATTGTCGCTGAAGATCTTTGAATCTTTCCCAAGCCTCATAGAGGGGCTCATTGGGATTTTGTTTGAAAATTTGAATCATTCTCCGGATTTTCGCTGTTTTAGATGGCGGAAAAAATTCTTTTGAGAAATTCACCATGAAGTTGATCCCAAGTGGAGAAGTGATTGTCTGGAAAAGAGTCAAGCCAACTCTGAGCTCGATCCCGTAGAGAGAATGGGAATAGGCGTAGTCTGACAGCATCAGATGGCACACCATTGATTTTAAAGGTGTTACAAGCTCGAAGGAACTTTGTGATGTGATTATTTGGATCCTCCGTTGGCGCTCCGCCAAATCGATCATTTGAAACCATGTGGATGATAGCAGGCTTGATTTCAAATTGGTTCATGTTAACCTCCGGCGGAATAACACTGTCATGCTCATCCACGGGAGGCGTAACATAATCATACAACGGTTTCCTGGTCCTTGTAACCTGATCCACGATTTGTTGATCTGGTTCCTGCTCATTTACAACAACATCGTTTGACATTTTTTTTATTTTTTTCTGTTCACGTATGTGCTTTTCAATGCTTTTCAACATCGTCTGAAGAATAACAATTCACAATTTGCACCACGTGAACGTGTAAGCATAAGCAGAAGGGAATCGGGATTGGGAAAAGAGAGAGATGAAAAGAAAAAAAATGTGGAATTAATTAATTAATTAAGGTTCGCACGTCGTCAATTGGCATAAACCGAATAAGACTAGTGAGCCCTTAAAGCAGTATTAATATATACAGTAATTCACCAGGATGCGGCAGGGCCGACAGATATGGTGATTTGAGAAGAAGAAAAAAAAAATAACTACAGTAATAAATACAGTCTCCACCAAGATGCAGCTGTGCCGACAGTCTGGGGATTATTAAGAAATAAAATAAAAAGTGCACGCCACCAACAAGCAGACACGGCCGACAAGCTTGGGGATGCAAAAAAAAAATGCAGAAATTAAATTGCTGAAATTAAAGTGCGATAATTAAAGTGCAGAAATTAAAGTGCGATAATTAAAGTGCAGAAATTAAAGAGTTGGTCCGACCATATAGGCGGAGTATCCTTTAAATTATTATGTACAAGTAAACGGTCCGACCATATAGGCGGATTATCCGTTGAATTAATATGTGACAATATGTCCAATGGTCCAAATGTCCAGATATATGTTCAGTCAACAAGTCCAACTCCAATGTTCAGGTAAGGTAATTAATCACAGTTCAATTTTTTTTTTTTTTGAACTTTAATTAATCACTTTTTTATGATTTTTTTTTGAACCTGCAAAAGTAAACAAGATAACAAGAAAATAATATACACACAATTTACAATAACTAAAACCAAAAGTTCATGCTTTCACTTTTTTTTTCAAAACCGCTTCCCCAGCAACAGCGCCAAGTTGGTGTGTAGCATATAATGGGCATGCAACTATTTTTTTTACCCAAGGAAGTAGGGTGTCGAACCACAGAGAAGCGGGAAATAAAATAATTAAGCACAAACTAAGGATTAAAGTTGGGAGTGCGTTTCTTTTGATTTTTTTTTGGTTGCTTGGAAAAGTAATAAAATAAAAGTGATTGAGATGAGAGATTTTTATCAACACAAAGTTCAACCAATAGCAAGTAGGGGTAGAAATTGGTAACTAATTGTTCAATGTTTAATTGAAAGAAATAATTGCTAATTTTATTCGTAGATAGATTGTGAGAAGTTGTGGATAAATATTTTAGGACCCAACACAAGTCATCTAAAATAAGTAACTAGTCAACATTTCCCAGTGATGGCCAAAACGAGACTAGTTGTTTAAGTGCAACGACAACCTTAATTATTAACTATATTATTTACCCAACATCGTGGTGTAAATAATATAATTAAATAATTAAATTCTCCCGTAAAACTTCAATCCAGGACAAGGTAAAAGAAGTTTAACGGTGTGTTCAGAAAGTGTTCATTTGTGTATTTAACAAACAATATGTTTATGATTGAGTACTCATAATATATATCACAAACATAACATAATTAATTTTCTGGACACAACAATCTAAATAGAACAAACTTAACAATTAAAATCGATACAAATTAAAACATGATAAGAACAATTAATTAACCAATTTCTAGCCCCAAATTTATTTAGCTATACATGTTGGGAAGCTTAGAAATAGATGAATTCATGATTGAAGTACAAGATTTAAAGAGATAAGCAAGATCAAACTTGTCATTGATGACAAACCTTAGAGCTTGATGCTAATCTTGACTTTAATCTTGATTGAGAAAGTGATTAATTGATGTTGAAGACTGGTTGATGATTTGGAGATGAAGAATGAAGAGAGAAGGAGGAGGAAATGATTCTGGGAGGTGTAGAGAGAAGTTGGCTCAAGATTATGTGTGGAGGGAGATGGATTAAGGCAATATAATGATAAGATGATTAATGATTAATTGCTGGAATTTACGGAGCATATAGTTTATGTACAACAAAGCGCAGTAAATTTCCAATAGTATGTAGCAGCTCAGCGGACCAGCGTCTTAGGGGAAAGCTCTGAGGTCACGGGATCGATTCTTGGCTTTGACTTTTTGTTCTTCTTTTCTTTGCTGCGTTTCAAAAGGAATGTATTAATTGCCAGATTTCGTTCACAGCAATGAGGACTAGCTCGTTGGTTGGTTGTGTTTGCTTCCTACCCAACGACCTGGGGTCAATTCCCATCTTCTTGATTGTCACTTTTTTGGCTTCTTTTCTTGTATTTACTCCTTATTTGCTTTGAAAGAGATTCCACTTTTATTGACATCAAACTTGAACTTTTATTATCTATTTTTTCTTTATGCTCAAATGTATCTAAATATCATCAAAAGTACCTGAAAATACAAAATACCCATGTAAGACTGCACAAATACAAACTAACATCAAATACTAAAAATATGTACAAAGATACAACTTTATTAACTAAAACTATTAACAAACTAAGCCTAAAAAGTGTGTAAAATACAAGCACATCACCACTACTTTACTTCTACGATTGATTATATAAGCCAATAAATCGGATTTGATCTCGTGGTTAAATATATAAATGATATGTCACATGTACTACAAGTATTAATATTTATGAATTTAGGGATTTTGTTTATAAAATGAATTGTGTTCACACTTCAAATTCTGCATAGCCACAATTTTGAAAATTGATCAAAATGATTCATTTGATAACCTTAATTTTAATATTTTATATAAATTTGAAAAGTAATCTTGAGTAATTAGATATTTTACCAAATTTATGCATGGTTGAAGTTATCATGAATTAAGTGAAACTATAGTATCTTGCAATGACTAATTGATCAAAATAAGAACGTACCATTACAGAGAATACATGAAGTTCAAACTATTATATATGCTAACTAGTTTAGGTTCAAGTGGTATTTTGGACTGACATTTCAATTAATATAGTTAAAGTCCTATATGGTGTACATACAATTTCTGTAAGCATTTTCAAAATTCTTTACACACTTGTATATTTCTATGTATAGTCATGTTATCAATAAAAAATCACACTTCTTTCGTTCTTTTAGTTACAAAACTTCTATTTTCGCATTTACCAACGCACAATTTTGACATTTAATCATACAAGGACGATCAAAAACCAAGAAGGGGTCGCCTATATGGCCGGCCACTTTTGATGAACATGGATGAAACATAGAGACACATGTTCGTATTTTGATCATAACTTTGTGCATGATTACCCAAAGTTCATGATACGAGTTGATTTACATTGACGTCTTCTTGATCTACAACTCTTATGAAGAACACAGAATCAAATAACGATTGTAAAATGAACATATTGCATAAAGAAGTCAGACATTCACAGTGACGATGGAAAGTGACACATGCTCACCGTTTTGACCATATCTCATAAACTAAACATCCAAAATATGTAATTCAAAAGGTTAGACTTCATTTTACTACAAGACCGCGAAAGCAGTTATGAAGAGCCGGGACCTCAATTCACTATTTGGAATCCGGTCCTCCAAATTCATTAGACGGTCCGCTATGCTCTATATGTACGCAACAGCCAGTTCCGATCCATACTCAAAACTCTCTAATGGCCTAATATTACTACATCGAGCTTCCGTAATTTTCTACCACCTTCGTCGCCGCTTGAATTATTGCTAGCTTAGCACGAAATCCACTGCCGCCCATGCCGCCATAGCCACATCATCCTCCACTCAAACGCTTCACGACCTTCGCTCACCACTTAAATTACTACGGAGTATTCCCTATTTCCCTCGTAAACGACTAAACGTACTCCATGTGAGTACTTATACGAAGTAATAGTTTGGGCTTCGAGGACTATATGGTTGTATCCTTCAGATCTAATTCCGGATTGATTTACAAAAAGATTATAAACATTTTCAAACCCTTTTTATCCTTCATTGTTTCCATTGGAGCATTGCTTTTCCTTTTTCTTGAGAAAATTAATTAGCTAAATGGGTTACTAGCTTGAGCAAGGAAAATTATTAAATATTACATATAACATTTTAGACAATAAATGAAGAGGAAAAAGTCATAGTTAACCATTGGAGTATATTTCAATTTTGCTACAAATAATGATGTGACTAGTTAAGCTATAAGGATAATTGGCTAACCGTTAGTCCGTTAGAGATGCTCTAATAGCTAAACCCCAATATCTAGCTTGCAACCATTTTAAATTTTTTCTAGCCAGTGCAGGCCCAACATTTTTTTAAATGTTTTCTAGCCAGTGCAGGCCCAACATTTGAATCTACCTATTTAAGTATTTAATTAACCACAAAGTAAGAGAAAGAAAATGAAAGGACGGCCAAGAGGCGAGTACCTGAAAACTGCTCATGAGAGTTGAGACTGCAGAGAAAGCAAGAAAGGTTGCTTTTTACTTCGTATAAAGCTTCTATGACATTTAAAATGGGAATTAGAAATGGAAATTAAGTTTTAATTCAAAAAAAAATGGAAATTAAGTTGGATAATATTTTCAATATAAGTGTAATATTTTTCATCTCTAATACTTTTGTTCAAAAAAAATCTCTAGTACTTTCTCCATCACAAATTGATTTGTAAAGTCAACATTTTTTATCAACTAATTTTAAAGTTAAATCCTCCTTATTGATAATTTATTCATTTTTTAAGATTAAAGTTTACATATTAAAAAATTAAATTAAAATCTATACAAATTTGCAATATCTAAATTAGAATATAATTAAATATTGAAAACATAATAAAGTGAATAAAATAAAATGTTTGTTAAAAAAATTGAATTTGCAAATCAATTTGGGACGGATGTAATATTATTGATTAGAACAAAAATACTTGATGTACACTTTTTTGTTTACACCATTCGAACATTTATCTATTATATTGAGTCCATACACTTGGGGTTGGGTCCGAAAAACCAAAAATAAAAAACCATAAGTAGAATAACAACTAGTGGGTAGGACATACATGATTTTTTATATCGAACATTTTTGAACATTTTCTACTGGGTTTGGGTCCGACAAACCGAAATCAAAATGAAGACACTACAAAAAAAGTGCCCATAGACTGCAGATGGACCACAATTTTTTTTGCGATGGCAGCATAACTGTCGTTAAAAACACCATTAACCACACATTTTTTTATTTACCACACACAAAAATGTGGTAAAAGCTTAGAGACGACAGTTTTTAACCGTGACCAATGTTTTTACCACAGCTGTTGTGCCGACGCACGTAAAACTGTCGCAAAACTATCGTAAAAACGTAAGGAGGACCATTTACGACAGTGTTGCGTCAGTTTTACGTGCGTCGCCACAACAGCCATGGTAAAAACATTGGCCACGGTTAAAAACTGTGGTCTCTGACCTTTTACCACAGTTTTGTATGTGGTAAATAAAAAAATGTGTGGTTAATGGTGTTTTTAACGACAGTTATGCGGCCATCGCAAAAAAAAATTTGGTCTATGTGCGGTCTATGTGCACTTTTCTTGTAGTGCGATAAGGAAAATGACATTTTTTTACATCGAACATTTTCTACTTGGGTTTATATTTGATTTTTTGTCAAAATCGAACCAAAACAACTGAATCCACCCCCACATACAACTTGAGGATCAATATATACAAGCTCTTGGTTAAATGTAGGAATGATATTATAAGAATTGGTATTGATGATATACTATGTACATCATTTTGAAAGTTTGGTCAAAATATTTCATTTGATAACCTTAATTTAATGTTAATTAAAAAAGTAATTATGGGTAACAAGATATCGTACATACCTAGGTAAGAATGAGAGTCAGGAGAACACCAGCAGCAGCAAGGATAATACCTCAGGTGAAGAGAATGATGAAATGTTTAAGCTGCCATCCAACGAGCAGGCAATAAGTGAAATCTGGTCAATCATAAAACCAGCTCAAGAATTTGGACATATATATAGGGGTTGGGTTGGGGTTGAGTAGGGACAGCTGCCCCTATAGTGGATACGCCATTGTCAGGAGCAATGATGAAATTAACCTCAGCTAAATGATGAAACCCAGTGATATGCACTAATTAGTAGTGCATAAGTGTATGTTTTTATGTTTGATTTGTGTGGATTGTTTACCGTTGAATTTAGTTTGTAAACATTTGTGTGATTTTAGTTGTAATTGTATTTTAATCTTCATTTGTAAGTTGTAAAGTAGAGTTAGGAATTAGGGTGTTGAAAAGGAGGACTTTGAAGTGAAGAAAAATAAGATTTGGCTGCCCAGAAGCAAGAACCCGACTGGGTACAATACTTCATCCGGTCGGGCATGACAAGAAATCAGAAGCTGCTGAGAAAGTCACTTGACCCGGTCGGGTCCCCTACTTGACCCGGGACACCAGAACGTGCCGAAGATCACCAGAACGTGGAGGATATCTGATTTTGACTGGACCCGGTCGGGTAGGGACCTAACCCGGCCGGGTACCCGGCCCAAGGTGTTGAAAAACACCTATAAATAGCACACTTTTCCTTCACAAATATCCACTCCTTCTTCCATACTCTTAAGCTCAGTTTAGAATAGTATTTCTTTTATATTTTTATAGCATGTTTAGTCTCCAAACGAGGAGCTAAACTTCCATTTCTTGGCGTTGCTCTTGAAGCTTGTTGATTATTAAAGTTGTGAGTTATTTTCTTAACTTCTTTCCTTGAATATTAATTCTTCCTTTAAATACTATTTGTATACCAATGTAGGGGAGTGTTACTAAGATGACAATTAGTTAACATCTTGACATTAGTTATAGTAATAGTTATTTCTTCCTCTATGTTAATATTGGGAAGTGTTACTAAGATGACAATTAGTTAACATCTTGATATTAACTATAGTAGGATTCATCTTCTTTAATATTCTTCCTTGAGTATTAATTAATTCCTATTCATATTTCATATTAATATTTTGAACATTACTTAAAGGATCAATTAGTTTTGTTTCATATATTAATTACTACTAGAAACGATCAATGAACCGATGGTTAATCGTTGATAGTTTCACAAGTAAGTAACTTCGGTTTATTAATGCACGGTCGTGGTTAATTAACTTAAGAGGAATTAATTGTGTTGGTTAAACAAAAACCGTTGTGTTGAGGTTATCGATCTCAATTGATTTCATCAAGGAGTTAAGAGATTAAATGCTACTATCAAGTCGGTATATGGCGTTGTTCTATACTTGACTAATAGTAAGGGTTATTAATGAACGGTCGTTGTTAATACCTTTCCTCGATGAATTGGATATACTCCTCGATTGAGTATTCGAGAGGAGATAAGTTATAGATATAACAATGATCGACTGAAATATATCAACAAGTGGAAAGTAGCAATGTCAAGTCCTTTTTATTTTTGAATTAAATCACATATAACTTGTTCATCTTCGTGTTTAATTTAATTAAATCACTCAATAAAAAACCCCTTTTATTTACTAGTTCCATAAAAAGAGAATTATTCCTTTCCCTGTGGATACGAACTCTACTTCACCTATACTACGTGTAAGTGATAGTATTGAATTTATTTTGACGCACCGTGACAAAGTGCCCGTCACCCAGCTCAAGAATATCAGCAGAAATGTATAAGGTGCCATCCGCGCCAGAAACGGTAAACATAAAAAGGAGGGAAAGCTTTCGTGGTCACTGGTCAGACCTGCCCTACAGGCTACAGAAACACGTGGTTGTTGCCAGTAGTTTCAGATACGCATCTCAAGTTAAAGAAGCAGATGATCGGGGTTTTAATTTGGAGGGAAAAACAGGTGAAACAATACTTTTTATTTTTGTATTTCCAGCCGGAAGCATAATATGTTTTGAAGTGTGATCATAATCACTAGTTTTTGCTGTTCCTAGCTAAGGCCTGCTCATGTATCAATGAAGAATTGAAGAGTTTTGCAATATAAATTGCCTTTTTTCTTGCAAAAAAGAAATAAAAGGTAAAAAAGATTCACAACTATGGGGTGTTTGGATATGATTCTAAAAATGATTCTGCTCTTTCAGGGAGCAGAAACAAAAGTTGAAGTGTTTGGATAAAGGTGCAGAAGTGATTATGGAGCTCAAATTTGCTCCAAGAATCAGTTTTTTTAGAAACTGGGGTACCCGCTTCTGAAAACTGGTTTTGATTCTGCTTCTATTTTAAAAAAGAAGCAGAATCAGGGCTCCTAAATTAGTTTTAAAATAAAATTAAAGTTTAAATATATTTACAAGAATGAAAACAAATACTACCTCCGTCCCTTAAAACTTTGCCAAGTTTGACTGGCATGAGAATTAATAAAGTAAAAACTGTGTGATTGTGGTTTGTGCTGAGGAGAGAGAATTAACTGAGAACCACAAATTCTTTACTTAAAAGGAAAAGTGACAAAGTTAGTGGGACATCCAAAAAAGGAAAGTTGATAAAGTTTTAAGAGACGGAGGAAGTACTGGTGTAGCTCGTATAGTCGTATCCATGAAACAGAGCAAAAGAATTGGTAGAGAAGACCGGCTTAAGAATGAAAGGTCATGACCCGGATGAAGGGTCTGTTTACAACAGCGTCTACTTTTACAAAAGTGATTTTTAATGAAATGGGGAGAAGTGATTAAATAAAAATTGATAGTGTTTGAGAAAAAAGTGATTTTAAAAAAGTAAAAGTTGATAGTGTTTAGTAAAATAAGTGTTTTTTGTATAATAGAAAAAATAAAAGCGCTTTTGACACAAAAACCGTGAAAAATAAAAGTTGTAATGTTTGATAAAAAAAGTGCTTTTTAAAGCAAAAAGCCGAGAAGTACTTTTCAGTGTTTGCAAACCAACCTGAAGATTTAACAAAAGTGAACGAATAATGGCAGCCTGTAGTCATTAATAAAAGGATCGAGTTCCCATGGAGACCTCATGTTCAATGCGATTGCTCTGACGCACTACCGCAAATTACTATGGCCCAACGTCCAAGGAAAAAAGATCATTTCTATTTTATTGAAAAAGGACATCTATAAAGTAGTACTTGTAGTAGTACCATTAGGGGCGGGCAAGAATCCTGGTCCCATTGTCCCATTTCAGTATATTCCGAAACCGTAACGCTGTTGTCCTGTTTCATTTGGGTCTCATTAATTTTGTCCTGCGCCGGTCCCGTACCGGTTTAAAACGGGACGGGACCAGGACATTGGAAAGTTATCCCGAACCGTCCCGTTTATAATAATTATATAGATTTTGTAGCATGTCAGTAGTTTGTAATGTCAACTCAAAAAATAAATGATAACATGTTTTTAGTTTTTCAAACCCAAATTTAAATTAAAAATAATACCTAACATAAATGTTTATTAACATATGTTTTTATCACATTTTATACATCTACATCTCAGTATTTCACAACTAGTACACATGATTTTGAATAAACTAAATCATTTTTGCTTTGTTTTAAATTTAAATTTCAAATTTTACTAAACCTAACTAAAATCTAATACATAGTAGCTTTTAGCTTGTGATGGACATCAATTAACTTTTAAAATGTTAAGATTTTGGTGCATAATCCTTTTTTTTGAACTCCTGGTGCATAATACTTTAGAAATGCTAATATATATAAATTACAAATGATTATTGTTTGTTAGTTTAATTGGGACGTCTCGAACTGTCCCGAACCGTTCCCAATCATCTCCGTCCCGATTTAAATGGGACAAGACTAGGACAAAGGCTTGTCCCGTCCCGTCCCGTCCCGTTATTATTAATTGGGACGGGAATGGGATAACCCTAATCCCGAACCGTCCCGACCCATGCCCACCCCTAAGTACGAGTATGATACATGGACCCAGCTCAAGAAATGCACTTCCCTCCCGAAGTAGATAACTACGACTTGAACATAATTCTGTATCAGATTCCTCTACAATTGTTAGAAATAATTACATGATTATGACTAAAACAAAGACAGTTTACAAGAATATGATTAGTGACTAGAGTAGTAATGAAATTATAGTAACTCATGTTCAATTTTTAAACTTAAGTTACTATAGTACTACATTGTAGTCACTAATAGTCATATTTGTGTAAAGAAGTTTTATTTTAGTAATATTCTTGTAAAAAAACCCCAATTGTTAATACTTTTTTGAGATTTTTCAAAAATATTGGGTTTAATGCACCAAACCCTTTCCTGAAATATAAATTCGGCGCCTTCAGATTGGCTTGGATGTGCTTTCACGAGGAGGTCACGAACTGGATATCTCATTCTATTGGGAGATTCTCCAATATCATGGAGAACTAAAAAGCAAACGGTGGTCTCACGATCTTCAGTAGAAGCGGAGTATAGAGCGATAGCGCATGCAGTGAGTGAAATCCTTTGGTTGCGCTGGCTACTAAGAATTCTAAAAGTAACACAAACTGAGGCAACTCCACTCTTCTGTGACAATCAAGCAGCGAGACATATAGCCATAAATCCGGTTTTCCACGAAAGAACTAAGCACGTTGAAATGGATTTTCATTTTGTAAGAGAACGAGTGGAATCACGAGAAATACAACCAATGTACATCAATACAAAGGACCAATTAGTAGATGCTTTCACAAAGGCTCTTGGAACCGATAGATTACAAGGTATACTTCGCAAGTTGGGCGTTCGAAACTTACACGCTCCAACTTGAGGGGGAGTAAATTAAAGGATTTCAGCCGTTTATATCTCATAGTTTACATCCTTAACTTATTTCCTTCTTTATTTGTAACCTTCCCATTTTTCCCTGATTTATTCCCTTATTAGTTTCTCTTTCCGTTGTAAACTGCTTGGGTACATATACCCGTGAAACTCAATGTAATATATCATGTTTTCAGTCTCAAAATCCTTTATATATTAAAAATGTGGTAAAATTGGATTATGGAGAAATGGTCTCAAAGATTGAGTCGGAATCAAGGAAGAGGAACTCAAAAGCACGTATCTTGTTTAGTCAAGGAAGATATCA